GGCCCTCTTTCCTCACTGTCCTTGTTGGATTGTGCTGCAGCTGAATGACTTCAATGACTCCCACATCCCTCCTGCTCTGCCAGGTTGAACCCCTCCCTCCGCTATGAAACCTTCCCGTTGACTGGAGGCTGCTTGTATGAATAGAACCAGTAGGGGGCACTGGTGAGCAAGGCAGGCTCAGCTGTCAATCCCTTTGAGCCCAGCTTCCCCGCTAGGAGGAATGAGTTTCCTTTAAGCCCTTGCCCCTGAACCATGGAGGAACATGGCTACTTGCTCCAGACCTCAGCGGCTCTTGGCACTGCGTTGTTTCCATCGGTGAGGGGGTATTTTCCTAGGGATGGGGGTGCCTTTTTTTTTTTAGGTTGCTCATTAAAACAATGAATAAATAAATGAGGAGGGGGGAGAGGAAAAAAATAATGTAAAAAAAATCATAATATTCAGCCTGAACTGGGCTGTCCGTCTCACAGCTGCACCAAAATCGAGTTATTCTTCCCTATTTTGCTTCTATCGTGCTCCCTGAAACAATCGTTCAGAATCTTTTCTTTCCTCCAAGATGGTGATGTGGGCCACAGAAATAGGGATGTTTGGACAAAGGTAATTTTGCAGATGAAGAGAGCCGGTTCTGTTTTACAGCAACAGGGAGAGGAATGGCCGAGGCCACTCACGCAGTCCTCACGCAGCATCTGCAGGTTCTTGCTGGTGCAAGGTCCCCGATCTGGACACATCTGACTTCTCCTGGTCATTTCTTGGCCTCACAGAGTCCCAACCCTCCAGCAGGTCCTTGTGGCTTAGCTTGCAGCAGCTGTCTTTTGGCAACTCCCTCTGCCTTCAAAGGCTTCCCTCCCTCCCATCTCACCACCCCCCTTCCCAAAGGTCAGGGTCAAAGTATATTTCGGGGTCTGGGTAGCTGGTCCAGCAACTTAGGTCCCTCCTCCCCATGAAAGTAGGATGGATGGGGGATGCTTGGGTTTGGAGTGTAGGGGCTACTTCCTAGACTCTTCTCAAACGCAAATACTAGGAACACATTGGTTTTCTTTGCATTTATGGGGATGTAACATTTGTATTGTCTGCTCAATGTGCTTTCCCTTTCTTTACACTGTGCTCCAGTGAGAAGCTAAGGAGCTTTGTCCTTCCTCCCTCTTACAGTCAAACTTCTGGAAAGAACTATCTATCCTTGCTACCTCCTTTCTCAGCTCTGCCACTTGGCTAAAACTTACAGATGATCTCTGACATACTGAATCTGAGGAGTTTTCCCCGTCTCACAGCGATACAAGGACACTCCCCAGGTCTCTCTGAAGAACTCTAAATGGATCGGGAGACACGGAAGACATGGGCACAGGACCGCCCAGCCTGGCCTGCTCAAATCGGAGAAGGCTCTATGCTCTATGAGAAAAGCAGAAGTGCAGTAGCTCAAAAGAAATGTGAGAGGCACAGATTCAGAAGCATCTCCCTCCCAAATGTTCACGTGGACTATTCGTGCCCAACCTGTGGCAGAGCCTTCCAAGCTCATATTGATCTGATCAGCCACGGTCACTGACCCCAACGTTGTGATGTCATTTGGGCCCTCCTCAAGCACAACAGCCAATCAGCTGGGAACAGTGCTGGCCCGCCTCCTCCTCCAGGCGCTTTCTCTCCTTGGCTTCCCTGAGATTGTGCTCTTCTGGTCCCCCTTCTCCCGCAGTGTCCCTTGCCAGATCATCCCCAGGGGCTCATCTCCTCTCCTTACACTTTCTCCTCCTTTGTGATTTCATCTCCTCCCATCTTTCAAGCATCGTTTCAACTTTGATGGCTCAAAATATATAGCCAACTCACATCTCTCTGTGAACTCTGCCCCACAGGGCCAACTGCCATAGATATACACCTGGCTCTTAGATATCCAGGTAGCACCTTGAATTTATTTTGTACAAAGCAGAGCCGATTCTCTTTGTCTGAGAACTCACTCTTCCTCCAATGACCCCCATTTCTGGATGATGGTGTACGCCATTATCCATAAGAAAAAAGGTTTTGAACAGTTGCTTCAGGGAGCATCATAGAGGCTAAAATCAAGAACAATAAAATGATTTTTATGATATCAAAAATCAACAAGCATTTATTAAGTGCTTACTGTGTGCTTGGTCAGGGCATCTAGGTGGCATAATGGATAGATTGCCAGACCTTGAGTTAGGAAGACTCCCGAGTTCAAATCTGGCCTCTGACATTTACTAGCTGTGTGACCGTGGGCAAGTCACTTAACTGTCTGCCTCAGTTCCTCATCTGTAAAATGAGCCAGAGAAGGAAATGGCAAAACACTCCACTATCTTTGCCAAGAAAACCCCAACCGGGGTCACAAAGAGTTGGACGTGACTGAAAATGACTGAACAATGTGCTAGGCACTATGTTTAATATAGAGACAGAAAAAAAAAGAAATAGTCCCAGCTCTCAAGGAGCAGCATTCTAAGGGGGGAGACAACATAAACAAATCAGGACACACAAGGTCAATGAATAGATAGACAGCCAGCCAGATAAATGGAAAGTAATATTAAGAGGGAAAGACACAAGTACTGGGGGCAGTTGTGGGGTGAGGTGAGACTCTCCCAGCCCTCTTACAGAAGGCAGTACTGGACATGAGTCTTGAAGGAAGCCAGAGATTCTTGGAGTCAGAGGTGAGAAAGGAGAGCAGGCCACGTGTGTAGAGCGATAAGTAAGTTGGTTCGGCTGGACAAGAGATTGTGGAGAACCCGTCAGTCAACAAGCATGTGTTTGCTGTTTTTTCAAGTGCTGGAGGGGAGTAGAATATAAGTAGATCAGAAAGGTCAGCATGGGCCAAGATATGAAGAGTCTTAAATGCCAAACAAAGGACTTTATGTTTGAATCTGGAGGCAACAGGGAGCTGCTGGAGTTCATTGAGTGGGATCAGGGGGGTGAAGTCGTCAGACTCGCCTTTTAGGAAGATCAGCTGAATGGAGGATGGATAGGAGTGGAGAGAAACCTGAGGCAGGCAGACTCGCTGGCAGCTATTGCAATAGCCCATGTGTGAGGTGATGATGGTCTGCACCAATCAAGCAATCAATCAACTAACACTTATTAAGTCCCTACTATATACCAGGCACTGTGCTAAGCACTAGGGGGCACAAAAAGAAGCAAAAGACAATCTCTGTCCTTGAAGAACTTGCAATCTAGTGGGGGAGACAACATGCAAACAAATACATACAAAGCAGGTTCTATACAGGATAAATAGGAAATATTAAATATTTAGCAGAGGGAAGACACTTGAATGAGGAGGGGTTGGGTGACTGCTGTGTCAGAGGAGATAAGATGCCCTGTTGGAGGGATGCTTCCGAGGTGAAATGCACCAGAGATGCTGCAGAGGTGAAACTGACTAGAGGTGCTGCAGAGGCGAAACTGACTAGAGGTGCTGCAGAGGTGAAACTGACTAGAGGTGCTGCAGAGGCGAAACTGACCAGAGGTGCTGCAGAGGCGAAACTGACTAGAGGTGCTGCAGAGGTGAAATGGACAGGCCCTGGCACCAGCTTGGATCTGGGGGTGAGAGAGGGAGAAGCCCTGGATAACTCCTAGGTTGGGAGCCTGGAGCATGGGAGAATTGGGGGTATTGTGGACGGAAGGTCTGGGGGAAACATGACAAGTTTGAGATGCCTGTGGATGGAACTGAGGCAGAGAGAAGTTAGGATTTGTCCGTTCAGGCCAGGTCTCCTTTGCGGGGAGGGGGGGCCCTCCGAGGGGCAGATCGCAGATAGAGGGCGGGAAGAAGGCACCGGGACTCCCCGAATACAGAAAAGGACAAACTCAGGAAACTGAGGAAGGGAAGGGGAGTGCCTTCCCTTTGTGGTCATTCCACCTATGGGGGGGAAGCTGCGGCTGGAACCTCAGCGGTGAGAGCCGTCCTAAGGCAGAGAGGGAGGTCCTGCAAAGTGAACCCCACCCCCACGCCGGTCACCCACGCCCTAGGCAGACCGGGTTCAGTGCGTTCGCAAGAGTGGTCGCCAGGAGGCATTCGCGGGGATGGCGAACTGCGCAGACGCGAATCTGTCCTGGAACATCCGGGCTCCGCAGGGGGGTGGGGCGAAACTCAAAAGGTGTCGGAAGCGGAAGCTGCCCCGCCCCCCGCCGGCTGTTGCTGGGCAGGGCCCTAAGTACGCCTGCGCAGTGAGGCTGCGCGCCGCGCGCCGGGGGCGGAGCCTGGGCGGGGCCAGCCGGGCGCTGAGTCAGCTGACGAGCCCGTGGAGGCGACCGCGGAGGAGGAGGAAGAGGAGGCGCCGGCCGTCTGGGGTCCCGGTCCAGGCGGTGAGCGGGTGACGCGGCCATGGCGACCACCGTCAGCACCCAGCGGGGCCCGGTAAGGCGGGGGGGGGGCCTTGGGACGGACGCCTCTGATCCCCGCCCCCGTCCCCGCTGCTCGGCCTCGGGGGGAGGGGCTGGCCTCTGTAATCCCCTCCCCCCCATGGTGGGATCCTTGGGCGGGGGCCGTCCCCAGGGTAAAGGCAGACGAGCGAGTTTGGGGGTGTTCCTCCCCAGGTCGCCCCGCCCCTCCTCACTCTGTAGGGGGCTTTGCGCGACCCCCCCATCGGGCAGCGGGGGCACAGTCGGTGGTGTTGTGTGCCTGGGGGGGCCCGACAGCAGGGGTGGTCTGCCGTGCCCCCGATCCTTGCCCTGACTCAGCCTCCAGCGGGAGGGGGAGGGCAGGGGAGCCTGGCTCTCTGAGGGCTCCCCCGCAGACTTGGGGCCCCCCCCCGCAGACTTGGGGCCCCCCCCTTCCGCCCCGTGGGAGTGCCGCAGAAACCAGCGCAGCCCTTTGGGCAGGGAGAGGCAGCTTCCCTGCTGCGGGAGGACCCGCCGAGAGCCGTGCCAGCTGCCCCCGTGCCGAGAGCCGTGCCAGCTGCCCCCGTGCCGAGAGCCCCGCTGGGCTGGGAGGCGGCGGAAGTGGCCTCATCCTCAGGGGCTCGTGCCTTTGTCCGGCCGGGAGGTGAGCGGTGCCCGCTCAGATGGCAGAGAAAAGGGCCTAGTCAGTGCCGCCCCGTGCCAGACCTGTCGGGCAGCTCCCAGAGCGGAGGCTGAGCCCAGCCCGTCGGCCGTGGACTCCTCCCGTGCCTTTGTCCTTTTTGGGATGTGCTGGGGGTCCTCGGGCTGCATGCAGCACGTCCTCCTTCTCCTCAGTCTGGCGGTTTGGTCTTCGGAGGAGGAGCAGGTGAGGGTGACATGATGCCAGTTTCTGAAAGGGCCCTTTTCCACGAATTGGAGTCTGGGTCTTGTGCAGACAAGTCCCAACCTCCCCCCACACCCTTACATAAGTGAGCTGGCGAAGGATCCTGGGCCGCTGCTGCTGGTTAGTCCTTTCAGTCGTGTTGGGCTCTTCATGACCCCATTTGGGGTTTTCTGGGCGGAGGTACTGGAGTGGTTTGCCATGTCCTTCTGTGGCTCATTTTACAGATGAAGAAACTGAGGCAAAGGGGCTTAAGAGACTTGCCCAGGGTCACACAGCTAGTCAGTGTCTCAGGCCAGATTTGAACTCAAGTCCCTCCGGATTCGACTGTGCCAGCGTGGCTGTGGTCCATCCCTAATCCTCCATCTGCTCCTTGTGTGAGAGGCTGAAACCTGGGCACCGAAGGCCTGAGCTAGGAGCTACACCGGCTTCGTGGGTGCTGCCGGATGTCTCCCCGAGGACAGGCTTCCCCAGGACCTCTCCTGCAGCCTGACGAAAGTGCGTCTGGAGGAGCCAGAATTTTCTCTTGCCCCTTTTGTGACCTGTGCCCAGCATTTCCTCAGGCCGTCTTCAGGGAGGAAGCTGAGCTGTGGACCCCTGGAGAGCCCGGGGGCTTCCTGCCTCCAGCCGTGTGGGCTTCATTGGTGGCGAGCCCTCTGCTTCTGAGAACCTCAGGGTCTGCTGGCCCGTGGGCTTTCTCAGCGATGATTATGGACTCGCTGCTTTCGGCCCACGGCAACCCCTCCTTCTGGTCACCCACGTTTGCAACTGAGGCGTCGTCCTGGACTCCTCGCTCTCTCGGCCCCACGTGCAGACTGTTGCCAAGGCCTCTTATAGAGTCTCCTCTGACCCAGACCCTCACCCCCTCATGCCTGGAGCGGGGGTCTGCCTGCCTCAGGCTCCCCCCTCCATCCCATCCTCCACTCAGCCACCAAAGGGATTTTCCTGAAGCCCACGGCTGACCACGTCCCCCGCCCACTCTGTGACCTCCACTAGCTCCCTGTTACCCCCAGAATAAAAGCCCTCTCTAACCTGCCCACCCCCCATGACCCTGACCGCATTTACTTCCATGAGGAGTTGGAGGAAGACCGCGTCCCCAGCACGTGACAACCACATCAGTTCTTCCCCGGAAAGGACTTTGATCCCATTTTTTCTTTGGCAAGAATGCTGACTCCTCAGTGCTAAAGTGCGAGGAAGTCAGAGACAGAAATACCAGCGTGTTCATAGCAGCCCTTTATGTGACAGCAAAAAAAAAAAAAAACGTGGGAAGGAAGGAAGTGAGGCCAGTCGATAGAGACAGCTTGGTCTCCAAGTCAGGAAGACCCGAGTTCAAATCCAGCCCCAGACACTTCCTGGCTGGGTGACCCTGGGCAAGTCACCTCACCTCTGTTTGCCTCGATTTCCTCGTCTGTAAAATGGGGATAATAACGGTTCCTCCCTCCCAGGCTTGTTGTAAGGATCGCAGGAGCTGATTTTGTAACAAGCTTTGCCAACGTCAGGAGCCACACAAATGCTGGCTGTCAATGGGAGAACAGCTGAGACGGTGGTGTTGTGGGAGGATGGTGATGACTAACATTTATGTAGCGCCGACTGTGTGTCAGGTCCTGCACCAAGCTCTCACAACACGAGTCTCTGATTGTCACGACAACTCTGGGAGGGAGATGCTGTCGTTAGCCTCGTTTTCCAGCAGAGATGAAGGAGGGGTGGGAGGTATTCAGGGCATGGAGGCCCTGGAAGGACCTTAGCGATGCAAGGAGGCAGGCGGGGTGGAGGGGTGTTCTGGGGTGAGGTGGCCTCAGGCCTCGGCAGCTATGGCCAAGAGTGTGAAGCTCAGGTGAGTTAGGGTGCCTAGGAGAGGGCGGTCCCGGGGCAGTCCTGGCCAGAGACGGGAAGGACCCGGACCACCTGGGGAGGTGGCAGGTGCCAGGAAAGAGGGGACTGTAGAGAAGGGAGCCCGAGGCAGGGAATGAGAGGACTGGGGGGCAGGTGAAGGAGCAGGAGAATGAGGGTTGAGCTCAGGAATTCAGCCCGAGGCTCTGGCTAGCTTGGGGGTGGGGAGGATTTGGAGGTGCTGCTGCCTCACCTGTCTGTACTGGCTGAGCGTGGGTCTGGAATCCTGAATTTTGTACCTAGCAGCCAGTCCCTGGGGCAGCTGTGTTGGTTTGGCTGAAGGGCCAAGAGAAGAAGGAGCCTTCTGGGCCAAGCTCTGGCACAACCGGCCCTGACTTCTTCCCGGCCCCTCCCTCAGCCACCTTGTACCCCCTTTGGCTGGTTTCCTTTTAGGGTCCTCTGAACTGGAGTCGCCATTTTGTCTTGATCCCCCTAACAGGACCGAGTGAGCTGGGTCTTCTGGCCCCCTTCACTTCCTGTTGTCTCATCCCAGATCCTCCAGCTTGGGTCCTGCTGTGTTGGGCTCAGGTTCCAGGATTCCCACCCCCACCCCCCACCATTTTTGCCTGCTTTAGTGATCAGAGAGGTCCCTGGAAGGAAATCACAGGTGGTGTCCCTGTCCCTGGCCACACACACACACACACACACACACACACACACACACACACACACACAGCTGAACTTTGGGCTGTTTTGGTTTAACTGAGTATTCAGGATAACTTGGCCTCCAGCGGGATTCCAGCCTTCCCAGCTGGAGCTACCAGTTTGCAGAGTCCCACAGCCGCCCACGTATTAGGCTTCTTGCAGTCCACCCCTCATCCCAGGACCACTTGGTCCTCATGGGAATTAAGAGGAGATGAAGTTTCTGTAGCTTTTTGGGGTCAGCAGAACACTGAGCAGCCATGATCTCATTGTTGTTTCACAACAGCCCCAGGGGAGGGCAGTCGGAAGGTGTGAGGGTAGAGTTTCCAGCCTCACTGGGTGTGGCTCCCACCCTGTCCAGACTGGTCACCATGCCATGTCCTGGCTCCTTGGTGCCTCTGGGGCCGGCCATTCACCTTCCCAAGACAGGATCAACTCAGACACCCTCTTCTGTGTCCAGTTGCCTCCATGAACTGCCACCTTGGATTTAACTATTTGGGGTGTGTGTGTGTGTGTGTGGCCTGCACGTTTATATTGTATGCACATCCATATGTACATGTCTTCCCCATGAGAAATGGAAGCTCCTGGCGAGGAGGAATCGCCTTATTCTTTGTACTCGTACCCAGGGTCTGGCACACAGTAGGTGCTTAATGAAATGTAGTTGATTGATTGAGGTGCTCATGCCCAGCCACACAGCTGGGAAGCAAGGCAAGGTGGGTGTCCTTGGCACCAGAAGGAGACTGCCATTTGGAGATGGGCTGCATGGACCAGATGGTTTGGGCCTCCAGGCCCCTTTATTTCTAGGGTTCTTGGAGGCAAACTTGGAGTCTAGACTTAACTCAGACAGAGGAAAGGGTTATCATTGGGGTGGAGTGGGGGCTGCTCAGGGAGGAGGTCCCAGAGAGAATGTTCAAGCTCTGTTGTTTCCAGGACAGAGGCGCTGGTGTGACCTTCATTCCCAGGATTAGTGAACACTTCTGACTGGCTGAATGGACGAACCCCAGACCGCCTCAGCATGCTGGTCAAGCCTCCGTTTCGGTGACATAGAATTTGTTTTTCCTCATTTGTACTTTTTAAAAAGGAACATTCGTGCTGACAGACATCTTAAATGCTGAAGCCAAGAAACCTTTCATTTCCTAACGCAGTGTAAGACGTTGGAGCTCTAGAGTTGGTCATTCATTTGGAATCCCTTGAATAGTTTGGCCATCCGAACTGGCAGAAGCTGTGGCCGGTTTTCTGAACTAAAGCTTTGTGCACAGTGAATCTGCACAGCCTTGAGTTGGGGGTGTCCTCTGGCACTGCTAGGGGGGCCAGCCCTGATTGTGCTTTCTTTCCTGAACTTTGAGTATTTGGGGTCATGAATATCGGCGCTGCACTGCGGGGAAGAGCAGGTTTACGTAAAGTGCCCAGATCTAATTAGGAGCGCTCGATGGTACCTGACCAAATGGGGCCCGGGGTCCAGCCCTTAATTTAAAACTGGGCCTTGGGCCCGAGGCTGCTGACTTCTTCATGCTTCCACTGACGTATGGACTTCGGTCGGTCTTAGTGGGGGAAGTTGTAAAGGAAATGAAATTTTCCTTTGTAACATTATTATTTCGTTAAATATTTCCCAATTACATGTAAAAAATTTTTAACATTTGTTTTAAAAAAATTCTGAGTTCTAAATTCTCTCCCTCGCTCCTGTCCTACCTCCTTCCTCGAGAAGGCAAGCAATTTGATATTGATTGTGCATGTGAAATCACGCAAAACACATTTCTATGTTAGCCATGTTCCAAAAGAAAACACCTAGCTACAGGCCCACTGGGTGGTGCCATAGTGCAGAATGTCAGGCTTCTGAGTTCAAATCCAGCCTACAACACTGACTAGTGTGACCCTAAGCAAATCACTTGACTCTGTTTGCCTCAGTGTCCTCATCTGTAAAATGAGCTGGACTGCTCCAGTATCTCTGCCAACAAACTCCAAATGGGGTCATGAAGTTAGACTGAAAATGACTGAACAGCAGCAGACAAGAAAATGAAGTTAAAAAAGGGTGCTTTAATCTGCACTCAGTTCATCAGTTTTCTCTGGGGATGGAGAGCATTTTTCATCATGAGTCCCTTGGCATTGTCTCAGATCATTGTATCTCTGAGAATGGCCAAGTTGTTGACATTTGATCATTGTTACAATGTTGCTGTTACTGTGTACAGTGTTCTCCTGGTTCTGCTCACTTTGCTCAGCATCAGCTCATCTAAGTCTTCCCAGGTTTTTCTGAAATCAGCCTGCTCATCATTTCTTATAGCACAGTTCATACATCACACCTTGTTCAGCCATTCTCCAGTTGAGGGGCATCCCTTCAATTTCTAGTTCTTTGCCACCACAAAGAAAGCAGCTATCAATGTTACTGTACATAGAGGTCCTTTTCCTTTTTTTTTTCATCTCTTTGTGAAATGAAAATTTCAAAAGGTCTGCTTGGACAGGCAAAGAGAAGCCAAGTATGATAAAGGGTCGACCCACTGAATTGTGTCAGAGTGGCCCGGCCTGGAGACTCTTGGGGTGTCATCATCAAAAGGAAATCACTTGATCTCTCTGGGCCTCAGTTGTCTCATTTGTAAGAGGGAAAAAATTCCCAAGGTACCAGAAGCTTTAAGGTTGTATTTCTAAGGGCCTACTGGCGTGACAGTTTGGTGGTTTTCTGCTGGCATGGTGACATCAGTCAGATAACCAGGGCGCACCTCCGCGGGCCATAGTGCTCACCGAGAGTTACCAAACAGGTGTGACCTGGGTCCTCCCTACCCACAAACGCTTTTCAGTGCAGACAAAACGTGCGCATTCATGAAGTGATTTGTGAACTGAGTAATATTTTCTCTGTCTCCTCAGTGCAGTCAGACAGATTCAGAAGTGGTTGGATGGTCAGACTCACAAGGTAGCGTTGGTGGTTCGTTGTCATTGTGGTAGGAGGTCTCAAGTGGAGGAGGCCCCAGGGATCTGTACCTGCCGTCTGCCGTTTTTATCCAAGATATATGTGGCACATTTATCCAGTGAGCAACTGGCACAGAGCTGAGAGGCGACCAGTGCCGCTGACGACAGAGTCGGGAGCCAGAAGGAGGGCCCTGAGAAGCTGGAGTCTTGGGCCAGACTTCATGAGATTAAATTCAGTAGAGATAAATAAATACAGTCTGGCACGTATGGACAGAACCCTCCATATCCACACACACACACACACACACACACACACACACACACACACAC